ATTGACAATATCCACAGCACTTGACCCAGCTCTGAGCTTTTGAAAACTTATTGGCTTCGAAGTTCATAGTAGGCCCGCTCGGAGGCTCGTACCCGAGATTCCCCTAGTTTTGTTATCGATCGAGCCAAGCTATTAATATCTCTCTCTAATTCCAGATACTCTGCTATATAGAGAATTAATCCGTTTGGCAGACAAATAAGCGAAATATTCTTACAAAAACCGTAGGAAGATTCTACAGAAGGGGGGATGTCTAAGGGAAGGGCAGTCTTCGTATTGGAGCACTCGCGGCGGACTATGACATCAGTTTCACATGTTGGCAAGCTGTGATGAATTATGACGTGAGTTGAATAACCCCTCCACGATCGATAGGCTGTTGGAGGCAGTGTGGGCGTGGGTGGTAAATGCGTCTTCATCGTATATAAGTGTCGTACTTAATCTCCCCAAGGGAAACTACATATATTTATGCATATTAAACCGTTTGGCATTTACCGGGCCCGCCTCAGTACAGCATCATATATCTTATGATGGAATCCCAGACAAAAGGACATTCCGAGGCGAGTGAGTACATAACTTTTTTCTCCATCAAATCGCTAAATACCTAACGCTTTCTAAGGCTAGAAGCCTAATAATAGGACAGAGCGCCTCCAAGAAATGTATGGAAGGGCACCACATCGAGATCTCCTTGACCATCAGCTGGACGTACGTATATAGGTGCTTCATCTAAGCACCCTCCTAATCATATCTCCGTCTCATTCTGGTATGTGTTAACTGTATATAGGAAAGAAGGTATTTTGATTCCGGTGACTTCGCCCTATCGCAAGTCCAGAGGGGTTCCGATATTGGAAAAATCAAGACTGGGACCCAACACCCACGCCGGGAGAGCATATCTCATCCAAGAGCTCCTATGCCAGGCTCTATTAATGTCGATGAGAGCGCAAGCAAGGGTCTGCAAGATCAGAAGAAAAGTAGCGAGGTTCAGGTTCAGAGCCACCTTCGTGAAATGGCGCGGTCGGAGAATGGGAAGTCGTAGTGTTGGACGCGTGACACTAGTATATTTATTTCTGCAGATTCTGTAGATTCTCAAGATTATCGGAGGTGGGCCGAGTGGTCATTTATGGGGGTACCGTGAAGCGGCTGTCGATTGCTGTGGTGGAGGGATCGTGGTGAGCAGGTTTTGGTGTAGTCGTTTAGCAGGGCTAGAAAATAAAACGAAATACTCTTTTATTACTTTTAAGGCAAACCCTGGGACTAGAATAGAAATTTCTTTTTCAATGGATTGATACCCTGACTTATAATTCATTTTTATTCCTTAAGATATAAATAACACTATGACTTGATGTGGCCCAGAAACTATGGCAAAGTACTAGGCCAATTGATCACTGCCAGTCGAAGCACCGATCAAATTGCGATTGCACGAAGGCCACATTTGCCAACTAAGCTGGTAATAGCCTGGATGAGAATTTCGTTCAGGCCGGCATACTTAAGAACGTTTTCTTTTCAATCCCACTATAGCCTGACGGTTTCCCTGACTTTGCTCGTCCTCTTTGTAAGAAAGATCATCACTGTTCGCGACAAGCTTACAGGTATGGCCCACCGGATACCAAACATGATCAATAGGCAGGTAAGAAGCAAAGAACCCAACAAGGGAATCTAAGGAATTTGTCCGGAATAGCTGCAGTGCATGTTGCCACTGAGGCGTAGCGATGAGATTCGGGTTTCCGATGATTTCAAGACTCGCAGATTGAAGAGCGTTATTCAACTCTTTAAGACGCTGTTGCCTGCGCTTGTTTGCCAAACGATGAAATTCGGGTGTGGAATCAGCCTGGTGAGAAATTTCCAAAATATCATGGTGAAAGGCAGTATCGTCCTGGATAGGGCATAGGTAAGTATTGTATTGGTCATGGAGCTTGGTGTATATATCTTCTCTTTTCATACCAAACTTCCAGGCCGGCCACGCAGTTGAGGGATCATCCATGGCATAAAAAGCAAAATTTGGATTAGCCAGATTTATTCAGGTTGAAGACAATGAGTGTGGAAGCAGAGTGTACCAATGGAGGGGGCATCGGCTAATACCCTTTAGAGTAGGACCTTAATGTGGGGATGTGAAAAGTGGGACCACAAAATTGTGGCGCATGTACTAGGGCTCAGAATATTACATTGGTTTAGTGCCGAGCAACTTTCTCAATGGTATGCTGAGAATATTGTAAATGACAACAAAGGCTTATGGATGGATAATAACTTCGCTATACTGGGGATGATAATACAGAGTATCAGGTGTGAGAGCATATTCGTGAAGTAAACACAAGATGCTCTTACAGAACCATGGCTTGAAGTGTCATGGTCTCAAATCTCGGTGGCATCATCAAGGAACACTATTATGAGTTTATGTAAGCTAGAGCAGTTGTTGAGGCTTCAAAACAAGCAACAAATGCGTGCGGCTTGCGACAGTCTAGCAAGTTCACCGTCTACTGGCTCGTAAACCTCGCGTTTACTACATCTGCTGAGGGTTAACAGGTGTAGTGCTCTGGAGGTATAGTACTACAAGTCTAGTGTTAGGGATCTGTAGTGCGAAGAGCTAATGGGTGTAGCTAGATTGCAGCGTTGGGCCGTGCGTCCTTGCGCTCGAAATAATTCTCCTGTAGTACCAGAGCCCAGGGGAATATTATTAGCGCGCTCGCGACAATACTTGCTAATTGTTGTTAATACCTACATACCCATCATGTCTGAATATGACGTTCATGACCTGGGTGATGTTATGTGTCACCAGGTTGGTTGTCTAGGCTATTGCGCCCAAAAATAGGTCCGAGCCATCTTCTTGTACTTGAGTTGCTTAGTGTCTGTATACGGTATAATATTCTAGCAATTAACACTATGTGGAGACCAAAAACATTATTTAATACTTATGTAAGTTAGGAAGCTACTTTTGCTCATAACTATACTATAGGGTAAAGAAAGCGAATTAGTACTATAGGGTAAATAGTTTAAGGAAGCTAATTAGTACTATAGAGTAAAGAGTTAGAGAACCTTATAAGTTAGAGAAACCTAATAGTTAAAAATCTAATTAGCTCTAATATAATCTATAAGTAAGCAAGCTATATAAATAAGCAAGCTACTTCTATTAATTTCTTTACTCTTTATTTAATTTATTAAATTCCTCTATAATATAATATAATAGAGCTCCTATATAAATTAAGGATACTTCTTACTATTTAAGCTCTTAAAAATAACCTAAAATTAAGCCTTTAAGCTATAGCTAAGATCCATAAGGTTAAGTGAATAACCTTAATATAATAATACACTAGTTATATAGTAAGATATAATACTTAATTAAAATTAATAATTCTTATAGAAGATAAAGAGAGGGCTATTATTTTATATATAATTAAGCTATCATATGTATATTTCCTCCTAGGATTTATAGTATTAAGGAAATAGCTAATATTTTACTATTGTTACGGTTCAGCATGGATAACCCCTATAGCTAGCTATTACGCTCACGTTGATTGCTACAATAGTGATTAATGCCCAATCTTTTGCCCAGTGGCGTAGCGGTATGAGCGATCGTTACATCTACCTATACTATATAGTAGAAGAATAAGTTCTTCCTATACTAAAAGTAAAAAGCTCCCTAAGATATATACTAGAGCGCTTTTTTAGTGTAAGTATTATAGTCCCTCTAATTTCTTTGCTTTATCCTAACTCTAGTGAGGATAGAGTAGGAGGTATTACTTAATATATAAGATAAGATCTAGGCCTATATTATATTATATATTTTATTAAATTCTTTAATATAGACTATTAATACTACTAGAGGTAAGCCTAGGATCTATAAATATAGTTTCCTAGGACTTACTAAAGTAATTAATAAAGTAATCTATTAATTAAGATAGATATAGTCTTAATAATATAGCTAGTGTAAAGAGGCACATTAGCTAGGTGTAGCCAGATATGTTGCCATTTAGGGCCTGACTGGTGGCACTAGTGATGTTTGAGAAACCAGGAAGAAAGAGGTCTAATATAAATATCTAGTAGGATAGTATTTCTTGGATGAGAGGAGGGCTGAGGTTGCTAAGGAGCATTATAGTGATAATAAATGGGAGAAAAGACGTAGATGTTGGAAATTGACAATATGAGTTAAATATGAAGGAACCAAGAAGTTACTCTAGAACAACGTATTGAATGATAGAGTGGGGGGACACAGCACATTCTTATAGTTGTAGAATGTGGCCTTCCATCACCTTGGCGCTCTGTCAACAGTCAAGAGCGTTGATAAATCCGCCAAACACCTATAGGAGCTGTACATATTGTTTTTCCTTAATATAGAAGAGTTTAGAAAAGTTCATATAAGCTGGTCACCTTGATCATGTTGCGTTGGAAAGCCAAACTTTAGTCCCTAACCCCTTCATAATAATGCCTAACTTTATCTAGTACTTTATATACTCTGCCTAATATCTTATTGCACCATCAGGTCTCTTGCACCCTAGATCCACCTCTCTGCGGTTGTCCAGAGTTCCCAAAGAGCCCAAAGGTACCGGTTTTGAAGAGTTATATCGTTGATCAAAGCAGTAAATTGTGGGAAACTACATGCCATCTATATGAGAATAGAGAGCGATTCTTACAACATAACCATCCCTAAACGATGATTAAACCTAGACATACTTATTGCCCTAGCTCTAGACTCCTGGGAACCTCACCTTAACCCATCCAAACAGCCACGTCTTTATCTCATCGAGGGCCAGAAGATCATTCTCTGGTGCCGCGCGAGAAGCGTTGGGATCAAGCCAAGGATAGGTCCCAGGACTGATGAGACAGCATATAGTTGGGCGCGCCTTAGAGCTCGTCTCTCGCTACACAGTTCAGCTGCCAGTGGCAATTACCGCCTACATATCTGCATGCGGGGCACCGCTGGTCTACAGTACAATCGTCGCCTCGACCGCAGAATTGGCCGCATCTCGACGCGCGCTCAAATAAGAAGTGGTTTGGCCCTTCATCCTCTGCTCCACCACACTTCAGACCGATACCACTATCTTGATTGTACTCTTGGTAGTATTCCTCAGCCTTCTGGTCATCGATAAGAGCGACCACAAACAGGCGCTCGTTCGTATCTGCATCAAATTCTTGAACCATAACCATGTTGCTAACTGGTTTATTTACGACGGTAAACGTGTTTCCTCCTTTCACGCCCGCCTGTGCCTTATTGAGAGCATCTCGGCCCACTGATACCTCGGTATGTTCCGCTAGGAATTTATCAGCGCCGGTGTTGCTTGTCCTACCGCCGTGCAAATACAGCGCCATTGCTAGTATGAGGCTGATACTGTTTGTGAAGCGCATGCTGGTAGT